GAGAGAGAGAGAGAGAGAGAGACCCATTTTCCACAGAAAACACTGGGAGCCACAAAGCATGAGTAGGCGTGATGGTGGTGGTGGGTGTCATGTGATTGAGTGGGAGTGATGTTGAGTTGGCCACGCCCACCCAGGTTTTGAGGCTCCCGGTGTTTTCTTTTGTGGGGGAAACTGGTCCAAAGGGCTCTTTCGAGTGTTTAAGGTTGCAGACCCCTCGAGTCTAGCCTGATGAACATTAAGTGGCAGTGATTGTTTAGAATTTCTGGCAGGAATATTTCCATCTCTTCTTCAAGATGGCACAGGTAAGACCAAAGTTCTGCTAGTTATCACACGTGCCTAACCCCTGAGCTACAATCTTACCCAAGTTTCTGTATGATAATAGCAATATCACTTCGACTTACATACCACCCCATAGTGCTTTACAGCACTCTCTGAGTGGTTTACAATGTCAGCCTATTTCCCCCAACAATCTGGCTCCTTATTTTATTGAGCTCGGAAGGAGGGAAAGCTGAGTCAATCTTGAGTCAGTCAGAATCAAACTCCTGACTGTGGGCAGAGTTAGCCTGCAATACTACATTCTAACCACTGCGCCACCAGGGCTCATTCACAGTGGACATTTGTTTGATTTGATCCATTGCATTTTAATTCCCACTGGCATCAATAATATCAATCATTCATAATAACCAAGACTACCATATGCTTACATCATACTTCTCAGGCACAAAGTCACATGGAGGCATTTTTGGTTGGAAGCAGGAAGAGTTTTTCAGTTTTTGATACTGATGCACCTCTAACAAAAGGAAATGCAGATTAATACACTTATCAAAGCCCATCGCAATAGACATCTGTCTGGAATGTAATTCAATTTCACAGCAAATAATTTCCAAAGACATTGCCCATAATGGATGAAATGTCACCTCAAACTTTGTGAATGGAGCTGAAATTGCACTTCATGGGCCAGGAGGGGAAATTGAAGAGAATTCTTAAACAAATCTGAGCTCTGGGTTTTGTGGAATATAGACAGAGGAAGACCTGGAATTAAATCCTCCTCTAACCTTCAGGAACAATTTTCATATCATGTGTTTAGTGGAGTTTCGTTGGACATCCTCTGCTCCACTTTTACACCTTGCAAATGTATTGGATGACAGTGACATGAATATTCTGTTCCTTGCAGGTTAGAAAAAAAAGGAATTGTAGCCTTTCTATCATGTCTGGAGAGCATATCAAGAGAGGCAAATCGTATCTATTGACACAAAGGTGTTCATATTCTCCTTCACAAATGTTGACCAGAATTTTTGACTCCCCCAAGTCTTCTTTTTTTTAAATGGCTGCTCTAACAAAGTAAAAAAAACATTCTGGAAAAAAGCAAAGATAATTATCATCACTGTGTAAAGAAAGCTATACCAGCCTCTCCATATAGATCATAAGAGGTTATCTTGCTCCACTTATAAGTTAGCTAAACCTGGTAAAAGCATCCTGGAAGAGAGAGAAAGAGGAGTAATTGCACCAATTTTACACCTACCCTTTTATTCTATTCCTGTTCTGTTCTGATAACAGATAATCAGAGTAATCAGATAATCCAACCCCTGCCCAAGCAGGAGACCTTATACCATTTCTGACAAATGGCAGTCCAATCTCTTCTTGAAAGTCTCAAGTGATGGAGCTCCCACAAATTCCGAGGGCGAGCTGTCCCATGGGTTGATTGTTCTCACTGTCAGAAAGTTTCTCCTTATTTCCAGGTTGAATCTCTCCTTGAATCCCTCCATTATTCCTTGTCTGGCCTATAGGTGCTTTAGAAAATAACTTGACCCCTTCCTCTCTGTGGCAGCCCCTCAAATATTGGATGACCGCTATCATGTCTCCTCTGGTCCTTCTCGTCACTAGACTAGCCATGCCCAGTTCCTGTAACCATTCTTCAGAGGTTTTAGTCTGCAGTCCCCTAATCATCTTGGTTGCTCTTCTCTGCACTTTTTCTCGAGTCTCAACATCTTTTTTATAGTGTGGTGACCAAACCTGGATGCAGTACTCTAGGTGTGGTCTTATTAAGGCTTTATAGAGTGGTATTAGTACCTCCCTTGATCTCGATTGTATCCCTCTGTTAATACAACTTAGAATTGCATTAGCTTTTTTGGCTGCTGCTGCACACTGCTGGCTCATATTTAGCTGGTTGTCCACTAAAACTCCAAGATCCCTCTCACAGTTACTGCTCTCCTCTCCTCTCTTACCCTGCACTACCCTATCCTGAGCTGTGTTATTTCCCAAGGAAGGGGAAAGTCAGTTTCCAATGTTGCTCTAGGTTTTCAAGGCTGGCATATGTTGGGCAGTTTTGGCTTCAGGGCTTATTGACCCTGGTATGGAGAACAGATTACCTAATATTTCAGGTGACCCCAGGTGACCCCAGCCCTCACCAACGTCCACCAATCAGAAACCAGTTCGGGTAAAGACCAATCAGAAGTCAGGTCCCTTCTGGGAATAAAGCCAACAGCCTGCTCCATTGCCTGTGATCTGCAAAGCAGCTCCCTTCGTTTCTGAAGATGTTAATTACTGGCAAAACATCAGGAAATCTGTTTGCTAGACCTTGATCATTAAACCCTGAAGCCCAAGGTTGCCCAATGCATTCCAGAGTTCATTCAAGTAAAATAATGCAATGGTTTGGAGTTGTTCTTCCAACTGCAGGTCAACGAGTTTAGGAGGCTCGCTTGGCTGACCTCAATTCCACCCGTTTGGGGCTGGAAGTCCAAGGGGTAGCCCGAGGGAGGAGCACTGCAAACACCCACAGGTGACGCCAATGGGGAAACCCCTGGGGGAGTGGCAGTTCAGCAAGAGTTCAGCAACGCTTGGCCTGTGGCTGCCTTGGCATCGTCCTGGCTGGAGAGACCAGCTCTGGCTCGAGCTACGGATGCTGGCAGCTTCCCCTCTGAGAATGGGGGGTGGACTTCAACTCCCAGAATTCCTTAGCCAGAATGCCGTTTTCAATTTCATCTTCCAGTTGCCAAGTTTGAAAAACTCTGATCTTGATTGTCTCAAAGGTGTTTTTTTCCTTGTGGACTTCCTTGTTTTTGTTTTTGAAGACCTTTCGCTTCTCATCCCAGAAGCTTCTTCAGCTCTGACTAGTGGGGAATGGAAAGGTTTATACTTCTTGCAGACAGCTGGTCATTCATATGCCTGCATTCCCCACCATCCAGTCAGAGCTGAAGAAGCTTCTGGGATGAGAAGCGAAAGGTCTTCAGAAGAAAAAGAAAACAACCCAAGAAAGTCCAGTTGCCTCCCGAAAAATGGGAATTCTGGGAGTTGAAGTCCTCCAGGCTACCAATGACAGTTGCTTGGGAGGACTACCAGATGAAGGATTAACTTCCTCGGTCATCTCCAGCGTAGCCTGGCATTATAAGGGAGGTCAAGAGTTTTTCAAATTTGGCAACTAGAAGCTGGGATGGACTTCAACTCCCAGCATTCCTCAACTGGCATGAAGTCCACCCCTCTTTTTAGTTGCCAACCCGGTGCGTTTAGGTCAGGGGTCTTCAAACTTGACAGTTTTAAGACTTGTGGACTTCAACTCCCAGAATTCCTGAGCTAACATGACTGGAGGAGGAATTCTGGGAGTTGAAGTCCACAAGTCTTAAAGCTGTCAAGTTTGAAGACTCCTGACCTAAATGACTGAGTTGCATTAAGTTAGTGACTTGCGAGTGAATCCATTTTTTCCCCACGGTCCTTGTAAGGAAGGGTGGGGGAATCCAAGCCTCACCTATCCTCCAAGTCTCAAGTCTCTCACCTCGCCCTGGTACTTAGAAGGAAAATCCTGCATTTTTCCCCTTGCTAAATCTAATCTCATGCAAAAGATCGAGCTTCCGGGATTGGGGCAGACATTGAATTGCATCCTAACATACTGATTTCCGAGTGAACATAGGAATAGAATAGAATATAGAATAGAATAGTACAGTAGAATAGAATAGAATATAGAATATACAGTAGAATAGAATAGAATATAGAATAGAATAGAATAGAATATAGACTAGACTAAACTAGACTAGAATATAGACTAGACTAGTCTAGACTAGAATAGAATAGAATATAGACTAGAGTAGAATAGAATAGAATATAGAATAGAATAGAATATAGAATAGACTAGAATATAGAATAGAACAGAACAGAATAACAGTTGGAAGGGACCTTGGAGGTCTTCTAGTCCAACCCACTGCCTAGGCAGAAAACCCTGCAACACTTCAGATAAATGGTTATCCAGCCTCTTCTTAAAAACTTCCAGTGTCGGAGCATTCACAACTTCTGGAAGATCGGACACACAGCCCCCATCTGCGGCAATGAGCTGATTCCAAGGTGCCAATTAGGAAAAGTGTAACGAGAACAGGCGTGGGTGGCTACCGTATAATTTTGCCCGTGCTGGATCCCCAAGTCATGAGCGCAAACTCGCGCGTGCATTCTCGTCTTCCCGCGACACTCTTGACCTGGGCAGAACGCAGGAGGAGGGAGCGGGTGCCCCCAACCCCTCTCGCTCTGGCCCACTCCCGCAGCCTCCGCCACATCTTTCACTCTCATGTTATATAGGGTATTATATAACTGCATGCAATATTATGCTAATAATACTGTGTATGTATATACTGTATTGTATATACATACTGTTTGTACTTAATGTTTGTGGTTATAGTAGGGAGGGAGGGAGGAGAGAAAGAGAGAGAAAGAAAAGAGAGAGAGATGATAAAAGGAAGGAAAAAGGGAAGGAAGGTGAGAAAGGGAAAGAGAATGAAAGAAAGAAAGAGAGAAAGAGAAAGGAAGGAAGGAGAGAGAGAAAGAGAAAGGAAGGAAGGAGAGAGAGAAAGAGAAAGGAAGGACGAAGAAAGAAGGAAGGAGAGAAAGATGGAAGGAAAGAAAGATGGAAGGAAGGAAAGAAAAAAGATGGAAAGAAAGAAAGAAAGAAAGAAAGAAAGAAAGAAAGAAAGAAAGAAAGAAAGAAAGAAAGAAAGAAAGAGTAACAGGGGCTGCGGTTTGGAGGTGCGACCTCACTTTCAGAAAAAACTTTTGTGACTTCTCCTCTTTGAATGAAAGGGAAGTGGATCGCGACAACACCCGCCCCTCCGGGGCAGTGGGAGAGCATCCTGTTCTTTGCAACTGCGAATGCACTCTGGACATGCTCAGAGGCACGGCGGTC